TACACACACACAAAGAAAAACAAGTAGATAGAATAGAAAAAAAATAGAAAGCTGTGAAAATGAAAGTTTTTTGCAAGAAAACACTAAAGGATGACACTGATTATGAGCAATAAAGTGATCGGGTTTCAAAGATCTGGGGTTTTCCAGATATAAAACTTAAAAAAATGCTATGAAATTCCTATCTAACTTTAAAGTAAAACAGTCTACTCTATATTAATGGAAAATATTTTTAAACATAAGAAGTGATTTCTACTATAATATTTACACATCCCATTACACCCATATCAATCTGGTGATCTAATCATAAGTGAACAGGCCTGAGAGTGCAAACAATGGACGTTGTTCTCAGCAGAACATGAGAACGTGATCAAGCTCATGAAAGAAGTTTGGTTTGATAAGAAATATACTTTTTCATCCACATTTCAGAAAGATACTCACCAAAGATGGAGGAAACATGGCCAATATTCAAACAGATAAATGCAGTTATTTAGTTTGCAAAAGAATTAAGTAAAACATTTTTATGCCCACATATGATTTTTTTTCTTGTATGTAAAACATGACAAGAATTAATAATGGCGCTTAATGGGTCAGATTCATTAATTTTGTGCAAAAGACCAATAATCAGTTCACACAAAAGCAATTCACAAAACAAACTATTAAAAAAAGAATCAAACTAAAACTGACAGCTAACAAGTAAATTCACAATCCTTTTGTAGTGATTAGCTGAATAGTTACATCTGTAAATGTCCACAATCTCGAAGGAGTCTTTCCGGCTCTCTTAAAGGCTATTACCCAGGAAAGCGTGGCAAGAAAACTGAAATGTTTTTCATATACTCACAAGATACCTTGTTTTGTCTATACAGAAATCTGTAAGTTCCTTCAGTCAAAACAGACCCTTCACCTGAGAAACTTACCGTGTTATTGGCAAGTTAAACAAAGGGGTGTTAGCAGAGGTGCCTGATTTTAAAATGTATGTATACATTGCTGAAAACATCTGCTCATACTAATGAGGCAAGGTTGTGATCCTCATACTCTGACTGGCGATGGGATACGTCACCATCGGGGTAGTTGCATGGCTCATCGTGATGCCTGGCAAAGGTTGTGCCATCGACACAGCGACCGGTGCCACCGAAACTGCAACAGGGGCCATGGAAACAGGCGGTGCCATTCCCTGGGCGATAGTCTGAGCGAGGGCGGCAGAGATGGGGTCGGGGTTCAGATGCGGAAGCGGTGCGGTAGGGGGCGCTGCATTGGCTGGAGGGGCGGTTGGAGCACCAGCCGGGGACACCAGATCCTGTTGCGTGACAGGACGGGGCTGCAGACCAGCGCTGCTCAGAGTGGTGTGAGTCTGGGCGATGCCATGGTTGTAGGAGCTGATAGAACCAATAGGGGGCACCAGACTCTGCTCAGACGGCACGGGGGTGGAGGACAGCGTCATCACTTTAGCCTGGCTTCGGAACTGAGCGTTCTGCTCCAGGAGGACCTCGTTGGTGGCTATGAGATTGGACACCTGGAGAAAA